TCTCGTGACGCCCGGATAAACAGACATTGAACTTATCTCATAACACTTGCATAACATGAATTAACGAGCCAAGTGAATATCGACATGCAATTCTAATATATAAGCTTTTTATTGTTTCTATCGATTATCAATAAGGAAAATTATTTATAAATTCGTGAAGACATTTCGAGAGATCTTACGTGAAGAATCAAAATGTGTTCGAATTAGGCACCATTTTGAATAAATAAACCAGAAAATTCTTTTATTTTAACCTTTTTTTAAAATAATAATAACAATAATAATAATAATAAAGCTCTGAATTTGAGTTTTTCTTCTTAACAAGATGCTAAAAACATAGAAGAATAAATGAAAATATTTTATTCGTGTTTAAAGCAGTTGTGCTTCCCATTAATAATAATAATAATAAAACACTATAACAATCTTAAATTCAACGAATATAAAAATTAAACAGGTAAAGTACTCTATTAAACTAATAAAACGGTAATAAATGCAATAATTTACAATCGATACATAAAAAAAAAGTCATCAGGATAACCAAACACAGACAAATGTACAATATTTTTTGAAACGATTCTAAATCGATTCTTATCGATCTTCGTTCTTCCCATCTCGGTCGATCCCATAGCAATTAATCCAAGATGTTCGATCAACAACATGGAAGATTAAACTAATTTTAATTATATCTGGGTTAATATAGATTACTGTCTCTTGTCTAATCTGAGAAATAGGTTAAAAATGATGATTTAGTCGCAATTTAAGGCACGACTTTTAAGGATTAGTAAATTTAAATAGAGAAATAGGTAAGATGGTCAGACCAACTATTCGTAACAGGCGTTGGTGTAATTCATGAATATTTAACAGAAATTAACACGAGAAAAATATTTTTAAAAAAAGAACATTGAACTGCAGAAATGGAAAAGTTTGCATAAATTTGTAGCAGTTTCCCGTTCTTGTGTTTTTTCCCCTCTCTTTTTTTTGCATTTTATTTTATTAATTTCTATATAAATTGGCACACGTTGGAGAATTTTTAATCTAAAATGGATTTAAATTCTCATAAAATATTCAAACTGTAAATAAATCAATCTTGCATATTTCTAAACACATTATTTTTCATGATAACTCCTATTAACAGGGAAAAGAATTAATAAACCAAAACGTGGAAATTATAAAGTTTGAAGAATTTTGGCACGAACAAAATTAATGATCGAAAATCGTGAAAATTTATCAAACTCTTTGTCATATTAATAAATGTATTTTTCAGAAAGGGATAAAAGAAAAACGGGGAAGCAATGTCCATGCTACTCGTCTGTTACTTTTTCTGCTTTGCAATTACTAAGAAAGAACATCTGGTGCTTTCCTTTAGGGCTTTGCCTACAAAAGACGACTGAACTCAGCTTTCCTAGTTTCTATTTCCTGCCCAGGAGCTTCCTTTCTTCCGCTGGTAGCTTCTATAAGAGGTTTCCGGTCGGAAAATATCAAAATCCCTCCTCACTCGGATCCCTCCGGAAATTTTCCTTTCAGAGTCCAACATCCCTACGGGCCTCATACTTTTGAAATTAACTTTGATTTCGAACCAAAAGAAACATCAGATAAGATCTTTTCATCATATTATCGTCTTTTTGAATTAAATTTAGATATTTAGAATAATAATAAAGGGTTTTTTTGAGGTAATTTTTATTGTATAAAATGTTGGACTTATTCAATGTAAGGAAAACTCGCTACTCCTCAGGGAGTTAGTTATACATTATCTGTATATCGAGTAGAACGTTAAGGATTTTTTAAAAATAAAATATTATTTTTGAAACTACACAAAGAAGAGAAAAGAAAGCATCGATTAAAATCTTTAAAATAAAAATAAATTCTAAAAATTCTTGTCACGAATCCTGAAAGAAAATGACCAACAAGTAAGCGGATCTTATCGCTTCTTCTATAGAACTTCCCATGGATTATAATGCAAACAAATAAATAGTTTGGGCTATTCTCACCGGATCTACTTTGAGAAGTTTATATCAGTTTAAATAAAAGAGACGTACACCAATTGTACTGAGAATAGATACTCGAAAAAAAAAAAAACAACTGTTCGAAAATCGATGTATTTACAGAGTAAATTCTTCTTTTTTAAATAATAGATTTCAATAGAGAATTTAAAAAAAAATAAAAAAGACAAAAAATTCCAGAATAGTCGGAAGCGCCTTTCATATTCCGGAACAAAAGCGCGATTTGGTTGTTTAGAAGTAAATGGGACAAACTATTGTGTAGATATATTGAGAGAAAAGAGGCTAAATGTTGACTGTTATTACTCTGAGCTACTAAATTTGCTGGTTTTAAGTCTTTCCCGCCTAATCTTTTGTTGAATTTTTATTCTAGAAAAACAAAAAACGTTCATGAAAAAATGGGCATTATGTAGTATACAAAAATCGTCAATAATTTAAGAAATATCAAAGCATTTTAAGAATATTCTTCTATTTATATATAAAAGGATCGACTAATATTCGTATATTGAGGACTTTTATTTCATTTTAGAAATGATAAATTTTATTTAAATTAATTATACAATTTTCAAATAAATGCATAAAATTAACAGTTGTTATTGAAATAGTTTCAAAACTTTCAAACATTTAAATTATATGCAATTGAATAAAGTCAAATTATAATTAATTAAAGGATGAATATTTATTTAATATTTTGCCTCTCTTTAAAACTTGTTAATGTGAATATATTCAAAGAATAATATATTTAAGAATTCTTTATACTGTAATTTAATTTTATATTCAATAACTGAATTGAATGGTTTATACGCAATGAAAATTAATCACTAGACATTTCGTAGAATGCTTTTTTTCCTTCTTTTATTTCAGTTTTACAAATTATATACATTTAAATTTATATTATAACAATATCAAAATTGTTTAAGGTACAGAATTAAGTTTGTTTAAGAGTAATTACACGTTTCATTGAGCCAACAAAAGGACTAAGTTGATCCATACAGTTGGGAAGAGAACGTATTTGAAAGGTAAAACTTTAACAAAGGAGAGCCATCTTCGATAAAAGGAGCTTATCTCTCATATTGCCATCCACAAATCTATACATGAAAGGAAGAATAATGCGCAATTTGTTATCCGTAACAAATAATAAATTCTACAGTTTAAAGTTCTGGCCTTTGCTTTAACTTATCGGATTTCAGATCTATCACAGATTAGCTTCCGACTAAATTATGCCATTACGTGTTGTTTGCCAGGGCAGATCAATTATCCGATTATAATTAAAAAAAAAAATAAATAAATGTATTATTGACTCGAGACTATTACAGTTGTGGCCTGAATGGCAGAGCACTTTTATTGGCCAAGCATTGTTTTTCCTCCCGACTCATTTGGACCTTCTCTCTTACTAGGGTCAACGACTGCTTTTTTAATCCAGTTTGATGTCACAGTAATAACTAACCGGTTCTTTAGCTTTAAAAAAGTATGAAATATATGAAAAAATTTAGCTGGATAGGCCTGCAATATGACCTTGTCTTAGAAATTTTCGACAATTGATTAGGACCACCATTTCTCTTCATATACATACATACACGCATTAAATCTATATTTATCAGGTTTATTCTGTGATTTAAAATATTGCGTGCAAATTCTCTACAGAATTCATACGGAAAAATACGAGAAAAGAAAATAATCTGAATCCTTGGAATATTTTATATTATAAAATATAGTACAATCAGATATATCTTTATTATTTCCTTGTGAAGTTACTAGCAGTTCATCGAATTAAACAATAAACTATTCAAGACCCAGTTATGAAGTCAACCTTTGCTCCTTAATTAGAAATAATTAAAATAGATAAATTGATTTTTGATTTAGAAAACTTTAGATTTCATTTATTAAAATGTTTATTCAGGAAAATTATTGTTCAAGAAGCAGAAAGTATCACATTAGCGATAAATGTGCGATTGCAGTTCTATAGGCCTGCTTCAATAATAAATGGGATTAGGATCAGGTTTCAGAAATTCAACAGCGGATTTTAAAGTTCGACAAACTTTGCAGGAAATATAACACCTGTTGCCCTAATAGGTTCTCGTCACTGTTGCCAGATTCACCCTGCGCACTTTTGTGCCGGATACAGAATTTCTAGAATATTCTATTGGCCTTATGGAATTAGTAAAGACACCATTTCTTTCGCTTCCATTCTCTATATGGGGTTTATACGTGAAAGAATCTTTAAAAATCGATTAAATTCTAACTTATTAAACGACCATAAATTAATATTAAATAAGAAAATCGGCATTTCTGACAACAAATCTGTCAGGAAAATATATAACTACGAGTTAATGGAAATTAGGCAGCTCTTCAATCAATCAATTTGAACTTATTTAAGATTAACGTGTATATGCGTGATGAGGGAAACGTACAAATTAATTTTAGCAAGAGAAATCGCTGAATAATGCATTTTAATGCAAGAAAAAGTATAGAAAACGATGGAAAATTTTCTAAAAGATACAGAAAATAGAAAAATTAGCAACGAGCCGCTGCTAACTCACCCCCAATCTGGTATCAGCAGGCCAATAACCAGTACGACACGTCAGCACTTCGCCATTATTTCTATCTTAGCTCTCGAATCTCGCGGAAAGAATGGAAGGGCCCTATGTCGAGAATGCATAGAATGGAAGATGAGACAAAACACACGGCAGATGCGAAGCCGATTTGAGCACCTCCAATGCGTGACGCCTACGCTACCTTCGTCCATTATTCTACAGCATAGAAGCAGACAATAACTTCATTGAGCAGCAGTCTTACGTACCATTTACGGTTCAACGATCAAGAGGATGAAGTTGTAGCCTCGCAGCGGGATTCTACGCTTACTCCAATAGGCTGATTCGTCCGCCCAGCTCAGCTGGCTTTTTTCAGAAAATTGCTCTCCTATTGGGCGTCGTTAGATGATCTCGCTGATGACGTATATGGAGTAGACGTTGGTTGGCTGGCCGGACCCTTAAAAATGACAGAGATGAAGCCGACGAGCCTGTGAAAGTTAAGGAGTGGTAGCTGCGGGACCGTGGACAGCCGGGTTCGGCGAAAGAGCTGCCGTTGTGTATAGCCAAAAGAAAAACTAGCCAAAAAAAAAAACAAAAAAAATCCCGTCCAGTGTACAGATCGGATAAGTGTTCTGTGCTCGTCGTCGTTTGATCTGTGTGCAGTGAAAGTGCTTTCAGCCGGCAAGCTGGCCAGACAAGGAGTTTGTTTCAAACATATTACGAACTGTTCAACATTACGAAGGTGGTCATGAAATTAGAAGTGAGGAGTGCGGCTAGCTTTCTTACCAACCTACTCAGGTTGGGAAATAGTCTGACCATGGTTCAATTGGAACTGTTTCAAAGAAATTTAGAAGAACTACTCAGGCATCATTATCAGCAACATTGGTTCCCCGAGAGGCCCTGCAAGGGTTCGGGGTATCGATGTCTCAGGATCAATCATAAAATGGATCCTATCATAGCCAAAGCAGGCAGTGCTTGTGGCCTGGATGAGGCTAGTCTACGTCAGTTGTTTCCCAACGAGTTAACGCTGTGGATAGATCCTAAAGAAGTGTCTTACAGGATTGGTGAAAATGGCAGCATTTGCGTTCTGTACGACGGAACCAGTAACCATTTTTCCGAAAGTAACATCGGTCACTATTTCCATAGCATGGCTTCCTCGCAAGAAATGGGAAATAGTTACCGGTCACAAGTGATGATGGATGGCCACCATTTGAGCAAGTTTCCGAGACCGAGTTGCAAGGATACCATCAGGGCATCCAAAGGATGGGACTCCTTCATCATGGACTCCAGGAATGTCGGTCTGGAACAACTGGCGGCATACGTCTCCAGCTAAGGGTAGGTTTTTCTACTGCCAAACATCTCTCACACAATCACACCTGTCTCTCTCATCAAAAAAACTCTTTTAAAAAAACCCACCAATTCTGTTTTCCAGTCCCGATCGGACTTTTTTACTCGGACGACGAGATACCATACTCAGGGGCCCCTTGTACAGTAGGGCTGTTGAAAATGGCAACCTAGTCGTCCCAGTAATATTTTAAACTAAAAACCCTTAACTTTCAGGGATTAAAATTCCTAGAAATTAAAATTTATGTGGGGGAAGAAAGGCCAAATCCCACAGTTAAAGTACAATCTATTTGTGTTTTTTTTCTCATGGGTTGATAGTACAATATACTCGAAACCAGGGACCACAGCTCTCGCTTTAGCTCGCCGACGGTGCAAAATTCGACGTTCCCTCCTTACAGTCTGTTGCCAGTGGACAAACCTACCAGCTGCAGCTCGTATAATGTGATTATTGCCGCCAACGCAAGATACCAAGCACCTCGGCGAACGAATGCAAAAGTATCTCTGCAATGGAAGACACGAAGCCTAAACGACTGTGATCTGTTTTTCTTTTTAAACAACAAAATACATCTCCACCTACTGCGATCAACAGAATCGTTTAGTCGTTTTTTGTTGACTTTTTAAACTATCATGTTTTTTTGTTTCGTTTTTTATTCATCATCCAAGAAAATGTCACAATCCATTGTAATGTGTGTAATGTCTCGCGTTGACGCCGTTTGTTGGCATCGTGTTGTTTCATCCAGTTAAGTTTGGATCCGACCCGTCGACAGGGAACAGTGATAGAAACACCAGCCAATTTTCTATATGGGGATTATGTAAATGCACCGTCACAGGCTGAGCTGACCTTTGACAGGCAGTTAGCCTTAGATCAAAGGTGAGATGCAAGTGGGAAGGGGACGCAATGATCTCAGGGAGAAGGACTTGTGAAGTCCTCTTCCGCTTTTATTAATTTTCAAGTCCCCGTCGTTTCTGGCCTTAGTTTTTCCTATTTTCTACAAGATAACAACAAACCGACAGAGCTTTTCTTCTTGTTTCTTTACTCCTTTTTTTTTTTGCTTTCAAGACGGGTGTTGCCTGTAAGAAGAGATACCGTAGCAGCACAAAAACAGTCATTCAATATTGTAGAGTTTCTGTGGAATGTTATATATAAGTATATATATATTATAAAACCTTATGTATAATATATATATAAATATATATATACACGCATCTAGATAAGACCGAGTTTCAGGGGTAAGCAAAAGCAAAATTTGTACTTTTTGCGTGCATTATTGTCTTTTTTCATTTTAAAAAATTTCATAATAGCTGTTGCAGCTTATCTTATCGACCATCTTGTAAAACTTCCACGGACTAAGATAGCTGAAAAAAAAATTGACTGTACAATTCTTCCTGTATAAAAACCTGTAAAAATAAAAAATAAGATATTTTGTGTGTACAGTGGCGTAATATAGGAGGTTTTGTACAGTGAAAAAAACCAAATAAAAGTTGTGGATATTGCAATTGAAACAGGAGTGTCGGCATTATTTCTTTTGTGTTATTTTATTTTATTTAATTATTATTATTATTATTATTCTCAAAACTCGAAGAGGAGGAGGAGGAAGCTGCCTAACCTCGATTACAACTGAAACGCTTGAAGCTCCTCGTTAACCTAATTCTGTAACCGTTTGAACTGGCTCTTTTCTTTCTATTTTTTTAATTCTTTGAGTTAAATTCCGGTTACAAGTAAAAACTAATAATAATAATAATAATAACAATAATCTAATCTTTAAACTTTGATCAATCTAACTTTATATATATATTTTTTTTTAAATTAAATTAAATAAGATAAACATATAATCACTATTAAGACCGAGATTTCTAACAGAATTAAAAAGAAAATTAACATAGAAAATTTAAACATTTGGCGAAATTCGAATAAATCATATTAAGAAATTTTAATTAAAATCAAATATATATAATGATGATTAGTCGAATTCTAAATAATGAGAGACGTGATTTAAAGTTCAATTAAAAGAATTTTTCCGTTAAAGGTAGATAGATAAATTTCGAAATTTATTTAATATGCGGCTGTATATGTATCTCTCTCTACTTTTTTTTTGCTTAATTATTAAAGTAAACAGGCAAATGATTAATGCGATTAGAAAAAATAAAATGGAAGGAATGATTTTATTGTGAAATGGCATATCTGTTGGCATGGTTATACATTTTTATGTATTTTTAGAGGAAGTAAAAAACAAGTTAGATTAAAATTAATATCGTAGGAGTGTTGCAATCGAAGGGTAAAATAAGTAAGAAAATAAATAAAAGAATATATTCTAATGGTTTTATATGAAAAAATTTTATTTCATACATTTAGATGAACTTGTCCTCCGAGCATTGGATAAAGATGCCAATAACTAATGTTCTGTTGGCTACAGGAGGAAAAAAAATTCTTTTACAAGAGTACAGAACTAAAATATTAATGATAAACTCTTATTTTTTAAAGTTTTTCGTCTACTTTTCTAACTATATAAAACTTTTAAAATAATATACGCCTTATGTTATAAATATATTCAGCATTACTTAAATAGGATCTAAACTGTAAATTCGAAAATATTTTGTATTAAAGAAAAATAAATAATAGAAAAATATATTAAATATTTAAAATGATAACGATATTTTTTTTTCTATATAAAGAAAATAAAATTCGATAGCTAAATTTTGTAATTCTCCAGCGATATATTTACAAGAAATATTTAATTTTAAAAAGTAAATATGTAAATAAAATCTAATTAAATTTTAATTTAACTGAAATTTTAAACATATAATACCGAAATTTAAGTTTTTAATCACGCCAATTTAACAAAAATTGATAAAATATGATGATGAAGATCCGTTCGTGTTCAATAATTAAAATCAATTAAGCTCATTGCTTTCATCAGCAGATGTTAGTCACTTTTTTCGTGGATTATTTCTTTAAAGAAAATATACCATATGGATCCATTTCAATTAGTACAAGTGTAAAAATAGCCGTAATTATTAATTAAAATAGGAATAGTAAAATTCTGATACTTTAATTTCGAAAACTTCATTTAAAATTATTTAATTAATAATAATTTATGGCGTTTAAAAGATCGGTAGGATACATTTTTCCTTCCTTCCCTTTTTTTTTTTTTTTATTTCTAGTAAATTCTATTTGGTGTGTAAACATCACATGATCTTACTCCAGCTTGTTTCTAGAAGATTGGATTTTTGCCAATTTCGTTGCTGACTCATTATCTATTGCAACACTGTGACGTCGAACCAGAAGTGAAATCTGAATTTTTCGCTTTTCCTTTTCCTTTACTCTTTCGTCATTCCAGGATTATTTATCACAGGAGCCTGTTTTCCTCACTTAATAATAAAATTTATATTTACATTCGTTTTTTTTTTATTATTATTATTTAATAGGAGATGCTTTCGTGTTAAATCGCCGAATCTTCCTGAATATCCGAATAAATTACCAACTTCTTGTAAAAAAAAAATTTTTTTGCTGATTTTTATTTCATTAAATTCCTGAAAAAAAGCCGATTATCTGTAGAAATATTAGCTGAATGCGATTACAAAATTGTCATTACCAATAATCTGATTTGTTAATTATAATTATGCAGTAATTTGTGAAAAGTAGAGAATGTCAAATTTCCCAATTATTATCTAGTTGTTTATATAATTGGCATGATATTCAGATAAAAGTAACTCATAACGTTATATAAATTTAGGGAATTTAATTCATCATATCGAGGAAAATATATATATTAAAATAACATTTTAAGTCTTTATATCATGATTTACAGTCTTTAATTTATGTTAATTTGTAATTAAATTTATTATATTATAATCCTTTAACCTAATAAAAGTGATTTATATATATATAGGCCCTATATA